CATGATCCTACATAGTGTTGTACAGGGTAATTCTAATCCCTAAAAATCAAATCTCTATAAATGCAGAAAAATTTATACACTTTCATAATATATATCGTTATGTATTCATAACGATATATAGTCTATTATAAATGCATTGCAATATATTATAAATGTCAAAGCAACGCGTTTTTTGCAAAGCGTTTATGCTTAATAAAAGCATAAATTATACGAATACAAGCTTAAATTTTCAATAAATACCTTGGCGCAAACTCTACAATAACTGCATGGCTCAATAATTGTTCCAATTGGACAATCTTCTTTTATAATTTTGCATGATACAAATTTGCAAGGAACACTCTTAGAACACACGTTTGAACTAAAGATGTTTTATAATTTGTAGCAACTTAAAGCCTACTAATTATGCGCTCTTACCTCAATAAATAAAGAAATGCCATTAAAAGTTTAATAAAAAAAACTTTGAGGAGTGCGTTATACAACAAGATAAAAAGGAAATTTAACTTGATATAACAAAAAGACAGGAGTTTATATTTCTTTTCGTATTATTATTACCTTACTTACCTTACAGTGATGGATAAAATTAAGTATTCGAAGAAAACTTTCAAATATACTTAATAAATTCACAGGATATGCATTAAATAAATAAGTATTGCATTTCAAAATTCATAAAAGCTTGGCTTACAGTGTTTTTCATAATAATTTATATTTGTAAAAACTTTTACTATGTCATAATACTTTCTTAGGAAGTATATTTCAGGTAAGTGAATTTTTGGTTTTTTTGTTTTTTACTCTTTCTTTCCTGTGGACACTAAGAGAGCCTTTTGCTTATGTCCGTCATAGGTTGGGTTTGAGGAACGAAGTCTAACAAACCCAAAACAGAAAGGTTTCTCGAGCTTTTGGACCCGCTCGGATATGATCACGGATCCCCAGAACGGTAAGCTGATGTCTTACCGTTCTGGCTGTGGAGTCGGAGTCGGAGTCGTGGAGTTTTGGTGTTTTAGCTGGAGTCGGAGTCGGCGGATTTTTTGACGACTCCGACTTTTTTTTTACTTCCCAACTTGTTATGTATATAAAACGGAAAAGTATTGGAATCGTGTCAAATTTGACTCTCTAAGTCTTTTTTTTTTCAGATCTACACGTTTGGAGACCTCCCGAACCCCTGAAAAAAGTCAATAAAAGTTGGAAAAAAAATTCGCGCGCGTGTGCGTGTTGGCGTCTAATTTGTTTAATTTCTTTATTTCCCGTTCTGAGATATTAAACAATATCTCAGAATGGGTAAAGTTTAAGAAACGAAATGTGGCACTGTAGCTTGCATATAAAGGGGCATTAATACTATTAAAAAATAAATAACATTCGTCTCTACCCTCAAAGTAGGTTTTTTTGTCATTTTATAATAGTACAGTAAAACCCATTAAGATGTTAGATTGTGTATGGAGACATGATTTAGTTCAACCACTTTGACGCTTAATAACTAACTCCTGTTTTGTTTTCTGAAATCGTGTTTTAGTATTTCTGAATACTAAAACACCGTTTCAAAAAACAAATCAACTACGAGTTATTGGTTATAGAAACGGCGAATTCCATCAAGAAAAGAAAAATAACGTATACAGTTCAACAAATGGATACTACATACATCATAAGGATACAGGTTGACTGATGAAGGACTAAGTGCCCGAAACGTGTAGAAGTACCCGTACAAACTAAATAAAGATGGAAAAAAGCCAAGTGTTTAATTAATAACACAATCTTGTGTTAAACAGTCAAAAACTAACTCCTGTGTTAACTATCTGACTCCGATTTAAAAACCACAGAAATTATTAGGCTTTAAACAGGGTAAACAAAATCATGCCTCCACACACAGTCTAACATCCACAAATATAGAAAAAAACCTTGAAGTTTTTCATATCTCGAAATTTCAAGGTGTCCCGAGTCCAAAAATGTAAAAATTTGGGAGGGGTCATTTTTTGACCAAGCGCTACACTTTCCCTCTGTTATATATAAAAGTCAAAAAAGTAAAAATTATCGAATACATATTTATATATTACTTAGAGAGTCTTTTAGCTTTGGAATAAAAAGTTTATACGTTCTATCTTTATTAGAACTCTATTTATTGAATCTTTTATTCTGAGGTCACGTGATGACATCAAAATTTCTGGGTCTCTTTCGGTAACATGTCCGCCCCTGGTCGGAGTCGGATGATAAGGAGAAGTCGGAGGCGGTAGATTTTTACGTGACTCCACAGCCCTGGTCTTAACGTTTAGCATGTTTTTACGTTAACTGGAAGTAGAATATTGCATTTTATGTAAAGTTTCCCATAGAAATGTTAGATTGTATGGGTAGTAGATAAAATATTTATGGTTGAAATGAGTAATTCTATATGATGCAGATTCAGATGAACAACTGATGAAATGCCACCACATACAGTTGGCATTTCCACTATCAATGTAATAAATTAATCGCTGGATTGTCTGATGTCTAATAACAAAATGGACACTTTCTAATTTCAAAGCTTTGTCATATAGATCAAAAGGTAAATAAAAAAGGTTCTGTTTTGGGGTTCGGGTACGGATTAATCTATTTTATATTGTTTCATATGGGAAAATTTGTTTCGGTTTTCGAACAAATCGTTTTTTGAACAACTATTAGGAACGAATTAAGTTCGAAACCCGAGGTATGATTGTACAGTAGGACCTCTACTTATGAGTACGCCATCTTAACACTGCAAATTACTGATCAGCGTCCTTTTCTGACATTATTTTCCATTACTAGTACTTTATAAAAGTTATTTTATAGAGTTATTTTTTTAATTCAACCTTAAAAATTTTGATGCAAGTATAATTTTAATAACAATAATTTATAGTTAACCAGAAATTCATTAATAAGATAAAGATTTAATGAGATAATATATGATAATATANATGCAACGGAGAAAAATTTCAACATGGGATAGGTTAATATATTTTTTCGTACATAATCGGTTATCCAAAATATCAATTTTCTGAACAACCCAGTCCCCAATTGATTCGGATAATCGACGCTCTACTGTATTAATAGAATATTTGAAATTTTAAAAATTTATGAAATCTTAAATAATCTTAAACGTTGTCGATAGATGGTGCTAACTCTGAAATGGAGATTGTATGTACTTCTAGAAACAATTTTTTTAGTTTTCAGGCTTTTATAACATAAGGAAATTATGATGATCTGTCAAATTTAAAATTCCCTTTTCCATTTTTCGGTTTTTTGACACTCCAAGAGCCCAAAAATGTAAAAAATACTTAAAAATTCTGTTTATGCATGCTTCTATGCCAGCGTATATTTTACATCATATCTCAGGACTGGATGAAGCAAAAGTTTTAAAACTTGGCGACGTTATTTCTATAAATGGAGCATTGATTCTATTAAATTTTGGTGGTTAAAGGTCAAGGGAATGAGGAGATAGAAGGGCCACGTGTCATATCTCGAGTGGAGTCAGACAATGAAATTCTTACTCGTATTGACATTTATAATTTTTTTAAACTCAATTCTACGCCCAAAATAAGGTTTTTTTTTTCTTTTTCTTTTTATGATAATTAATAATATAAAAAATATTTTTTACTAAATTCTCATAACAGATGGCGCTAGATATAAACACGCCTTTTTTTAGCTTTAATCGTTATTCAAAGTTCGCTTCTTGTATTTGATCCTCGGTACTCCAGAGCGTGTATTTGATCCTCGGTCCTCCAGAGCGGTAGGCTTACGCCTTAAATCCGCCCGGCCATCAGGCCGTCATTATTTTAATGTAACAAGTACCAATAAGTGTACAATAAGATAGGTTAACTCATTGTAAATAACTCATTGTAAGTTTACTAAAAGCCCATTCGGCCGGATGGATAAAACCGCTGAACAGTTGTGGTCTCTCCACGTGTCTAACACCTAAATAGGAGTAAGTTTTCTGTAGAAAGTCCTCCGAGGAGGCACTTTTCTTGGCATTTGCCCATGTGTTGCATTGCTCTATTTTATCACTCCAGTCAAATCAATTATTTACCATAAATTTTGGCATTTAGGCCATGAGACATTTAGTAAAATAAGAAGCTAGCTTGAAAGATGCAGAATATTGGAGGGTTTTAGTAATTGATCACTTATACAGGATTACTTATATTTTTACTCGCAAACCGAGTAAAAGTATAACTGCAACCTGTAACGAGTAAAAGTGTGATGTAGCTGTAGTGTTTCAGAAGAGAAATGTGCAGCAACCTTAAAATCTATGTTTATTAGTGAAATGCATGCATTTTATGGGGAACATCTAGTCTATGTGACTAGCAAGTTAATATGACATTATTTGTTTTATATGAGAAAGACCAGGTCATTGGCTTGTTTATTTAACTATTTGTGACTTATAAATACTTTATATTTTACACTCTTGAAACCGTGTCGGTGATTATTTTGTTTTCTGAACACTATATATTGTAAATACACGAACACTTGGCAATATTCACCTTAAGTTTATTCAGTTTTTAGTTGAAACTAAAAACTGAATAAACTTAAGGTGAATATTGTCAAGTTTTCGTGTATTTACATTATATAGTGTTCAAAAGACAAAATATTTTATAGTCATATCTGATAACTTATATAAAGTCTTATGATGTGAACATTCAAAGCATTAGTTCGTTGAACTTGCAAAGCATTACGTCATCTAAAAAGTAGTGTTGTATTAATATCAGAAACAGTACTTTTAAATTATTTGAATAAAGTTAATTATAATTTTCGTTTAAAATTTATAAAATAATTTATTTACTCAACGTAAATAGACATGAAAATCGTTATGAGGAAAACTCGTAACGATTTTCATGTCTATTTACGAGGAAAACTGAATAAGATTAAGGTTACAAATCCTAAAGCATTATAATGTAATAAACAACGACGTGATGAGTGATATATCGTAAAGTATATTTTTAACTTTCAGATCACAATAATAAAAGTGAATTCCTTGTAAAGTTTACACAATAGAAATTAAGTTTCTTCTTGGAATATACAAATTTCCCACATCTGCCAGGAAATATAAACGACTGTTTCTTGACGATAGTAATTCCTGTATTTACACTTGTCTAATAATGACATTTAAATTTTTTATTTTTTTGTTAGTTTCCGTTTGCTTGTACAGGTGAGTATTTTAAAGCATTGTGTTTCATAGAGTGATTTTACGCTTTGTAATTGTTAAAAATATCATTAATTTTAAGTATGGCGGTGTCACTATCATGCATTCCTTGCGACAAATCAGCATGCCCACCTCTAAATGAAGCAGATTGTCCTGTTGGAATAGTTCTTGAAGGCGGATGTGGATGTTGTCAAGTCTGTGGAAAGGTAAAATTTAAAATTCATAGGCGAATTTCCTAATATTTCAAATTTTACAACGTTTAAAGAAAGAAGCGAATTGTAATGAAGGAATTGAGAAAATTATGATTATTTTATTTATTTGTGTTATTAGATAATACGCATTAAATCTCAATATATTTACATATATTGAAAATTCATACATTAATTAATTTGTAAACAGAATGTTGGTGAGACGTGTGGTGGGCCATGGAATATTCAGGGTAATTGTGGAATAGGCTTAGTATGTGTGAAACCACCTGCTCCTGCAGAAGATTTGCACGTGCATGAATTTAATTCTATTGGAAAATGCCAACTGAAACACTAATTTGTACTGAGAAGCATGACTTATTCCTTACTTAAGCAAGGAATAAGCAATGTGCTAAGCTATTACATAATCAAAAGACTATTGTTTACAGTTTGAGTTAATTGTAAAAGTTTTAAACAAAATTAAAAGTTTAATGCCTATTATTATCTTATGCGTCAGTTTTGAAATTCATTCGCTTAATTTTTTGGCATTTCCTAATACAGACATTTTCACTAATACAGATTTCTTCACTTTAGGAGCCAGTTTCCCATAAAAAAATCTCCCGAAAGGCATCTTCCTTGGCAGATTGCCCATGTTTTATTTTGTTTCTATTCTCATTCGGGATATACGATTCTCAAAAATGTGGCGGTACGCTGCACCGTTTTTCTGTATTTCATTACGACCAACCAAACAATCTTAGACTTTCGGTAGTATATAGACAAAAATATATATATTACAGGTAATCGGTACTGGATACTTGCATTCCTGAATTCCGTCACATGGAGTAAAGCATTCCTGAATTCCGTCACATCTTGGCTCTTGACTGCAGCATAGTTTAAATTACAAAGTCGTAGAGCGTTTCGAGATCAATATAAAACTTTTCTCGTGTGGCTAATATAATCAAAGAGGAGCAGCTAGACACCGTCAAAAAAGTGGTAAAACAGTACGGTCATAGGATCATAACCTTGAACGTATGACCAAAGGGGACACGAAGCCATGCTCTTCCCTGCAAGGCCTGTCGCACTTATAATCACGAGTTTATGGCCGTACGGGTTTCACTACAGAGATGTCTTATACAGATTCCCTACTTATTTTTTTAATGTAAATAAATTTAATATCACCAAACATTATAATAAATGTAAAAGATTGAGGCTCAAAGCTTCAGCATACTTAGTTTATATGAAAATTTAACCCAGGCTGTAGCTATGACTATACCTTGTTAATTCAAATAGCATTCTATTATATATTCTATTAATATAAGTTAAAAGGAAGGACAGATTTGATCTGCTATTTGATTCTTCAATTTAATTAATTTATTTATTTTGATTTCCAATAACACGATGTTCATGTCTCTACAATGTTCTATTAACGATAAACCGATAACACTGTATTTATTCACGGTTATAGTTGAATTTGGATTTTAATCTGATAGTTATTGAGAAATATTTAAATTAGTTATATTTTAAACTAATAAATTTAATAAAACATGAAATATTTTCGAAAATTTACCAAAAATTAGCAAAAAATTTCGGTTTACACAACCGATATAAATGATGAAAGAACATCTAGTATATATAATGATTGGAAACTCTGTTGAAATGGAATATTACATTAATAACTTTCCTGTATGTCGTTATGACTGTATAATACAAGATAGAGCAATTGTAATTCGAATGTTGAACTGATAAACACAGGACAGAACAATTGTGTTTGTAATATTTGAGCTGATATACACAGGAGAGAACAATTATGTTTCGAATGTTGAACTAATAATGAAGTGAATTTAATTTAATAAATACAATTCTTAAAAACTGTCGATACACAGTAGTAATCGCTTCTTTCAATAGAAAAAAAAGGTGGAAAATTAAAAATTTATGATAAATGTTCAGTTATGAAAAATGAAAGGACAAAAGATTACAAACACTATTAACAACGAGAAGAAAAGTTCTTTCATCTAGAGTTAATAAGCAAACTGAAAAAATAGAGCATTCTTGAAAGAATTGAAATTTGTATATGGAAAAACAAAGTAATTCAGAAAAGGAAACAAAATTAGTTGAACTTTAGATATGGTGTTTGTAGTTTTGAAGCACGTGCTCGTGTTCACTTTATTTATTTATCAAGTTTTTGATGTTTGTTTATAGTAAATATTATGCTAAAAATTAAAACATACTAATTTCCTGGTTGTGGTTTTTGTACACTAAAGACATATGAATTTATATAAATATACAATGGCTCAAAAGCCAGTCGGCCGTATTTTAATACGGGGCAGAGTAAGTATTTGTTTTATTTTAGAATAGCGATTTCTGGGTATGTAGTTTTAGAACAGTTTTATAAAGTTTTTAAGTAACTAAGTATTTGAATACGATAGAAATTTATTCTTGCAGTGGTTATCTAACTTTTTGGCCAGCTTATTATAGAATTTTTATAAAGAATCGCTATGTTTGTCGAATTTTTTAAAGCTGATTCATATTGTTTTTTCTGTGTTTTAGATTACTTATTTTTTAATTTAAAGTGTGGTAAATTGAAAAAAATGAAAGTAAAAGTGAAGTAAAATTTTATTCGATGGTTTCTGCATGTGGTTCAGAAAATGTATTAGTAAGTTATTACTTTTATTTGTATGACTTACAGAAACAATTCCTGATCGGAATTTTCTCTGACATTATTTTACATAACTAGTTTTACAGAAATTGCTTCACAGACATTTTTGAGGAAAACTAACAGTTTTATTGTTAATATAATTTGCACGATTGCCACATACAGTCAGAAATACAGATAAAGGTTCAATAGGACGATATGATCTGCAGATTTAAATAAATTTTTTAAAATCATATATCTTTATATAATTAATCGTCATTTGTGCTTATTATTTGTTTTAATCAGGGATAAAAAAATAATAATAATAAATAAAGGTATGTATGTTTTCGTCTTTTCTCACACCTTTGGGATCTGACAATAGACTGCAAAGCTACTTGACGTATACTTTGATGTTATTCATGCATTTTTATGGCATTTGGAAGAAAATCTAGCTTACTTCTAACAAACACATACATATTAAAACAATAAATTTTCGTAAAGTTAATTAGAATTCAAGATGAACAAATCAGACTCAAGATATGCCAAACAATTATCAATAGTTTGTAACTAGTGTACATGTTACCGCTAAAGCTCGAAAGTCGTTAATGTGTACATTACCTAGCTAATCTGCAGATAAACTAGGGTGATCCGTTAAAGTTGCTAAAATTGTTCTATTTCTCAAATTACCTAGGTCATGTGCAGATTATCTAGGTAATCTGCAAATTACCTACCAGGCACTCGGTAAAGTGAAAATAAGATCTTTGCTGTAACAACAGCAACGTTTCTGTACGCTTAAATTAACATAATGTTCTTTACTTAATTTTCGATATCTAAAGAATCAAGTTAATACAGGGGTGGCCAACATGAGGCCCGCGGGCCGCATGCGGCCCGCCGGGAGTCGTGTTGCGGCCCGCGGAGCTAGGTCAAATGAACATAAATGTTAACTTTATTGTAATATCACCAAATGAACATTAGAAGAGTTAAGAAGGTTTGGAAGAGTTCTATGTATTTGGACAAGGATAAATATCTTGCGTTTTACAAACATGCTCTGTCAATGGTTACGCTATTTGGAAACACGTATGCGTGTGAACAACTTTTTAGTCGCATGAAGTATATCAAATCACAAGTGAGAACACGAATTACTGATGTTCATTTGGAAAACTGTTTGCGTGTAGCGACAACATCAGTCCAGATCAATTTTGATGCACTTACTTGTTAGTTCTGTAAAACAAAGTCAAATTTTTAAATTGTCTAATAAATATGTTTCTCGGTTATTAAATAAATGATTCTCGGTTATGTTTTATTTTCTTCAAAAAAATAAATATACCTATTTTTTGTGTTTTTTTACATTAAATCAGGGAAGTGTTTGACCACGATCTCACCTACTGGAAAGCAACGATGCGGATGAAGGTGTAGCACGCTTGCTTGTTTACTTTAATTAAAAAAAAAATTTGGTGCGTGGCCCGGCAGGAAATATTATTTTTGAAATTTGGCCCGCCTGCTAAAAAGGTTGGCCACCCCTGAGTTAATACAATCAAACAATCGACAAATTAGTTGATAGAATCAATCAACAAATTAAAAAACACACAAAAAAATCAAACGGTTTAAAATATTAATACAATTAGGGAAATTATTAGGCCTATATGGAATTTTGGGACTTCGAAGTATCTATCTGAACTGAGTGGACCGAGACGACTTCAATGATACCCTACTTTTGGACCGGAGACGAAAAATAATAAAGTTATCATACTTTTTCTAGTGATGGCATGATTTAATTGTGCAGTTAATGTTACCTATGATGAGTAAAATGGCGGCTCGTCTCTGATTCCAGCAAACAGAAGAAAGGAAACAGTGGGGACGCACGTTCTAACCTAACCTAGTTTAATAAATTACCATAATTATTACCAACCAAATTATTAGAATAGGTTAGGTTAGGTTTGAACGTGCATCCCCACTGTTTCCTTTCTTTACTTTGCTGGAATCAGAGACTAGCCGCCATTTTACTCACCATAGGTAACATTATCCAATTGTGCTTACTTATTAGTGCAGTCTAAAGATTGGTGACACTTTGAATTTCATAGCAATTGGTTTTTGCGACAAGCACACCTATTCGTGGTACATTTATTTGTGGCAAAGATCTTATTTTCACTTTACCGAGTGTCTAGTAGGTAATTTGCAGATTACCTAGATACTCTGCACATTATCTAGGTAATTTGAGAAATGGAACAGTTTTCACAACTTTAACGGATCACCCTAGTTAATCTGCAGATTAGCTAGGCAATGCACACATTAACGACTTTCGAGCTTTAGCGGTAACATACATATGTACACTGAAAAGTGAGGATGATTTAATTGAACATAAGTATAAAATGAGATAAAAATACTAGACTCGAGCTATCTAGAAAAGCAGGCTTAGTTACATTAATTTCTATGGCATAAAGATTTTTGTACGGATCTATAATTTATAGATTGGATATGACTTTTGTATTTTCTCAACGAAAGTACGGAGTGAAATGTTATTCTTAATGAGAAATAAGAACATGATTTGTATCGTCCACAATGATGATGGCTTATAATACAGAAATACAGTTTTCTTTTAATAAATAAAATTTTGAAACTATTCCAGGATTTATCAATAATAATTTATCATAAAAAGTCGTCGTGCAAGATTGCAAATGGGGACAAGAGCCATGGCAATTATCAGAGTTCAGAATAGATCTCAAGATGAATCACAAGTAATTGTATTTCAATCAAGTCGATTTACTGAATGGCACGTTATTGGCCATATTAAATACCTCAATTTTATCATGTGATATTCTATTGCCATTAATTTTGCATCGTACACAGCGATAGAAAATTCTTATACATAAGATTTTGTCTCGAGCCTCCTAGATATAGAATATTTCGTAACATTCAGTACAGGATTAAGTAAGGATCTCACATGGTCACACTATTCAAACTTCAGACTTATCAGAATTTACGAGAGAAAATTCTTTGACTCGTCTTACAGACTTAAAAATAGTTTTGGGGTGAGTTAATGATTGTCAACTGTCAAGGGTGAAAAATATGGCAAATAATTAAAATCTGTTCATAGAATGGAGCAGCATACACCTCAAATGATTAAGCATAATAATTTGTTGCTACTCTGTGTTTAAACTTTAAATTTTCTTTTATATTTACTGAAGCGTTGATACTTCTTAAACTTTACACGATCACTAATTAAAGAGTGATTACTATACATTAACTTCCACAACATAAACACAGTAAAATTAGAATTTTATTTAAAAATTTTACAAGTGATTTTTTATTGTATATGAGTTAAAATAGGAAAAAGTAATGGTTTTCAGTACAAATTAATTTTCCAGTTGGCATGTTCCTTTGGAGTTGAATTCATACAACGAGGGATTGACTCCTTCAGGTGCGGGTGGTTTTACACATATCAGACCTTTTCCACATTTACCGTGAACCTTCCATGGCCCACCACACTTTTCTCCAACGTTCTGTAACAGAAATTTATAACTTAAAACGTACTCGTAATTTCCAGGCTGTTATTAAGATTACAAAAGTGTCATCTAACAGCACGTGCTACCGATCCGATCCTATTTTTAACCAAAAATTTCTCTAGAATAGTGTTATAAATCAGAATTTTAAGCGTGAATTAGTGTGCGAAAGCAGGTATAAAAGTTAAATTCTTACCTGGGCACAACGTTGACAACATCCACACGAATCAGAACTTATCCCAACTGGACAGTCTGCTTCTTTTATAGGTGCACACGCTGACTTATCGCAAGGACGACAAGATAACGACACTACAACACTTAAAAATAATTATATTTTTAGCAACTTTAAACTGTAAAATACGTCATAAAATAGATTTCTTCCTAAAAATATTCTCACCTGTACAAACAAACGGAGACTAGCAGAAAGGTAAGAAGTCTGAGATCCATTATTGCTAGATAGATGTAAGACAGGAATTGCTATCCAGGAGAGAAGATCGGTTTATATTTGTTTCCTAGCAGATGTTTCCTCTTGATGAGGGTGGAAATTTGTATGTTCTAAGAAATATCTCAACGTCACATACGTAAATTTACAAGAATTACTCCTTCGTTAAACCGGAATTGCGACCTGAAGGTCAAATACTTACTTTGTGGGACGTCAACACGTCATCAATTCAACTGACAAAATGTTTATTGCATTATAATGTGACTTATTTTCTATTCAATTTTTTCTCATCACGTCTTTCACAACTGTTCACATTAATTTAAGTTAATATTAGATATAAATGTATTAAATTTCATTCGTTATCGTACATTTATTCGCTTTGTTTAACTGAATTTTTAATGAAATTCTAGAATACACTAAAGACGTATGAATTTATATAAATGTGCGAATTTTGTGATAATTTTCCAAACTTTTACTTCACTTTCGCATAAAATAACTTAAAAATCCACAGAATGCTCATTTGACCTTTTACCCTGCAAAAATAAATTTTAAAAAAGTTTATTACAATTCGAAGAAATTATTCTATAAGAAATCATTATAAATATTTAGTGAAGCATGAATCCTTATTTCTTATATTATGTAACTGATGTTACTTACAAACGACTTTCCTTTTGTGTATTCTGAACTGGTTATGTCACGATAACAATGGATTTTCGATTTTCTAGTTTTAAAATTAGAATTTCCCTCACGGATTTCCAAGGGAAAAAGGGATTATCGAGCTTATACCTCCCTCGGTTAGAAGACCTGGTATAATGGAGATAATAACCTGTTTGCCCTCCCCCAATAAACATCCGTGGTTTTTCTTAACAGCTGGTTCCTTTAACAATGAGTATTGGCATTTGATACCAATAGTAATCTTTATTGCTACGTCACGCAGCAATATCTATATTGCTTTAATTAATTAATGTCTTATTCAGGTAGGGTGTGAAGACTTTTAACACGTGCATGATGACTCATTTGTTCAACTCAACTTTGCGAGTGGACAAATAACAAGAGCCAAAAGAATCCTAAATGTATAGACGGTGTTCAGGATAAACGATCTCGTAACGATTAAATGTATAAATAAATACTTTTGTACAGGAAATCACATAAACTTGTTTTTAAATAAGATAATCTGATAAATATTTTATCTAATGTATGAACATCCTTTTTCGAACTAAACATCAGGAAATGGTTGCATAAATGTTGATGAAGTTGCGAAAGTACTAAAAAAAACATGAAAAAATTAATAGAGAGATTAATAAATCTTGTTTAAAACATATTTTACGTGATTTTTCTTAATAATAAATTCATAGCGGCATTTAAATAATTTATTTCTGAAAGAAGTACTATTTCTACATTATGTAATTCATACCATATTAGGTCTGAATGCGAACAGACGCGACGACACGCGACGCGACGCGAAATGATTGAAAATGTTGATGCCTGACGAAATCCATTTCAAAACTAGAAATTTCATTGTTTAATGCCCTTTATTGGACATAAAAATCTCGCTACGTCATAGCAGAGAAATCAAGTTTAGTTGCGAAACTGGTTCGTTTACATTAATAAGGTAGTTTATAGTTACTCCAAACCTTAAAGGAGTCATAACACGAAGACTTTGAAAAATACTTGAAAAATTTTGGTAATTTAATTATTAAGTCTAATTTACATAGAATAAAACAAAAAAAAAAAACAGAATATTTTTTGTTTCAGATATTACTGAATTTTGAAGTGGACAGACATCTACAAGACAGAACCAAAATTTCACCTTGGTACGAGGTGTCAATATAGTACAGTTGTTCATATGCAGTACTCGATCTACAAAAAAAAGAATTGTCACCAAAAGCTGATGACAATAGGCAGCGGCGGCCTTATCCATTGCGAGGCTCTGGGCGGCAGATCTTTGCGAGGCCCTTGTCCTTTGTGCAAAGTATGTGAATTGAAATAGTAGGCACTTATTAATATTAATTATATACTGTACTATAAATTAAATTTATTTTATTGTTATAACTAATAGCCAAGGATAAAATAAAAAGTTTTAAATATCAACTTTTTTCTACTTGGTTGTTGCGCGAGGCCCCTCCAAGAGCGAGGCCCCGGGCGATTGCCCTGCTCGCCACCCCCTAAGGCCGCCACTGC